TAATCCCTCAGAAGTGGCAAAAGATTAACATTTATTATTGGTTTTTGACTGAAACGCATCTATATGAGATACAGCCATTTGACTATATTCTTCAACGAAATCAGCGTTAAGGAAATAGTCAGAAGTGCGTCTTTCCTGCATTTGTGAATTCTCCAAAAAGTCACTGGAATGGACATTTTCGTACTTTGTCTACAAAAGTTGGCAAACTATTTCACACATTGAATATTTTTGGATGGCCATCCGAAACTGCTTGGCTTTTGCAATGTCCGGTAACCCCCATGCAAATGTGCGTAAGGATCGGACGATAATTACGACCTGCTGACAATTTTACACTTTTTGGTCCATTTCAACCCCTAAATATATTGCGATTATCTCCAAAAAGAGTAGGCTTCTATTCTGACCCTCATCTTATCTCCATGCTAAATTTCGTATAGATCGGGCCATAAATGCGATCTGTATATGATATCCTGATATCCTAACTACTTAGTTTTGTTAGCTGTAGAAATATTACCAAATGTTTCATTCAAAATGAAAATATGCCAAAAATATGACAAAATTGAAAAAAATATGAGAAAATTTTACAAAATCAATATTTTCATCTTTAGAGAGATATTTTTATGCGATTTTTTTAGACGTTTTTTCTTTCCTGCCAAGAGGCCATTCTGAATTAGTGAGAACTGTCGAAATCAGTTCAGCCGTTCTCGATATATAAGAGATCTTTCAAGCATATCTTCTTTGATAAACATATATATCGCACATATTTTGCTATATATCCGTTTTGTTGAATGTTAACATCAATGTAAAGATCAGAAGTAACCTTGTCCTGGCTTTGTGATTTTGCCGGGATTTAAAATATTCGCGGTTTAATGAAAAATTTGGAATTTTTTCAACACAAAATATATGGTCTATTTTACCCGCTAAATATTATCCGATGACCACCCAAATTGGTAGGCTTCTTCCCCGTCCTAAACTCTAGCTACATGCGAAATTCCGCGTCGATTGGTCTATAATTGCGACCTGTATAGCTACTGCAAAATCCGACATTTTTTCAGTATTTGGTCCATTTCAACCCCTAAACATTTGACGATCATCTCAAAAAGAAATAGGCTTCTATTCTGACCCTAACCCCACCCCAGTACAAAATTTCGTAAGGATTGGGCCATAATTGCGACCTGTACAGTGATTACAAATTAACATGGACAGACGGACAGACGGACGGACGGACATACATAGCTAGATGGACTCAGCTCGGTGAGCTAGGAAGATCCATATATACTTTCCTATATGGGAAACCAATATTTCGAGGTGTTACATAAATTCTGGCCCAATCAAACTTATAATACCCCCAACACATAGTGTTGTAGGGTATAAATATAATTAAGTTATTTCTCAACAAAATAGATCTCATGAACAATTTCTATCTAGCGTAATGTGCTCTACAGGAGTAGACCATATTGTCTAATTCAAGATTTTCCGATTTTTAATATGTTTCTCACAGAGCAAAAATTATAGATTTTTCTGAAACTATTTTGCAAGTGCTGAACGAAAAACAAACATAGTTTCAAATATTTTTCAAAAAGAAAAAAAAAGAACAAGTAAAAAAGCTGCAAGTTCAGCTGAACTTTGAATACCCTCCACCATTTGCTACAAATTTGGTAATTTTCAAAAAAAAAAAAAAATAAATAAATAAAAAAATAAAATCCGTTAAAAATTCTGTTACAATCTTAAAAACACCGAATGTAGCCGTATATTAGGTCTTTACGACGACGTGGACTTGCATAGGCAACTTTTGTCACAAGCTATTACAATATTCAAATGCTAGCTAAAATCATCGAAATATAGGGAGATACCATATATCAAAACGTGGACCTGCACAGACACATTTCTGTCATAGGCTGTAGTATCTGTTACGTACACCAATTACCAAATTTGAAACATTTCCGGTGAATAATGTCACTTAAATCACCAAAATACCGAATATCGACAGGTGCCGTTATATGGGGGCTATACGAAGGCGTGGACCTGCACGGACAATTTTCTGTCATAGGCTGTAGTATTCATTATGAAATTTAAATACCAAATTTGAAATAGTTCCGGTAAATAATGCCGCTAAAATCATCAAAATACCGAATATTGGGGGGTACCGTTATATGGGGGCTATACGAAGACGTGGAACTACATGGCCCAATACCAAAAGTCCTGCAAACATAACATACATTTGAGCAAAATTTTATCAACCTACTTCATTTCGTTCGGAAGCTAGAGTGATTTCCACAGACGGATAGACGGACGGACATAGCTAAATCGACATAGAATTTTATGCTGATCAAGAATATATATACTTTGTGGCGTCTAAAATGTATATTTCGAGGTGTTACAAACGGAATGACAACTTAATATACCCTTCATACTATGGTGGAGGGTATAAAAATCGAGCAAGAATCTTAAACTTTTAACAATATTTTTCAAAGACCCGAGGCTATAAAAATCGAGCAAGAATCTTTTAAAAATATTTTTCTAGGATTTCCCGGCTATATAGATAATGGATTTTTAATGTACATTTAACTTGGACTTTCCGGCTATATAATTTAAAGATTTTTTTTAACATAATATAATATAATTTGTCACGGACTTCCTATGATGAGGAATATTTAAAAATATTTTTAAAGATTTCCTTTCTAAAATTAAAGATTTCGACATCTCGCAACGAAAATGGGTAATTTTTTTAAAAAATATTTATCTCATTCTTCCCGACTATATAAATCATGGATTTTTTAAGCATTTTTCGATACCTACAGTACTACGATGAAAAAAATATTTTTCAAAGATGTTACCGACTCACAAATTGTGGATTTTTGAGGATATTTCTTGGGTATATAAATTGTGAACTTTTAATTTTTTAAGGACTTCAAGGCCATACAATTCATAGATATGTAAGAGTATTTTTCAAGACTGCCCGACAACATAAATCATGGATTTTGCTTATATTTTCTTCTCGGCTTATAAGCCAAGGAATTCTTAAAATATTTTTCTAGGACTTTCCAGCTATAAAAATTTCGGGGTTTTTAAATATTTTTCGAGGACTATCTGCTATTAAAATCATGATATTTTAGAACGCTTTTAAAGGAACTCAGCTTGGCACAAAAATCCTGGATTATATTGGGAAAATGTTTACAAGGTCCTTCTAATTTAATCCTTAAAATTTATTTTTCAGATTTTTTTAGAACATTTTCTTGGGAGAACAACAAATTGACGGAAACTATGGATTTTTAAGAAAATGTATTTCTGTGGCTCCTGATTACAAAGCGTGGTTGGCAAAAGATTTTTTAGGACTTTCCAGTTATATAAAATGTGGATTTTTATACCCTACAACACTATGTGTTGGGGGTATTATAAGTTTGATTGGGCCAAAAATTATGTAACACCTTGAAATATTGGTCTCTCTGAGATATCTATGTCCGTCCGTCCGTCCGTCCGTCTGTCCATGTTAATTTGTAATCATTCTACAGGTCGCAATTATGATCCGATCCTTTGAAAATGAGGTTATGGTGAAAATAGAACCCTATTGCTTTTGCAGATGATCGCAAAATATTAAGGGGTATAAATGGACCAAAAACTGAAAAATTTTCTGATTTTCCAGTTGCTCTACAGGTCGCAATTGTGAACCAATTGAAGCGGAAGTTAGCATGGGGCTACAGCTTAGGGCTGGGCAGAAGCGTTCTAATTTTGATGCTCATCGGATAATTTTTAGTGGGTGAGAATGACCATAACATTTGTGTTAAATAAAATTCAAATATTCCATTAAACCGCGAATATTTTTAATCCCGACGAAATCACAAATAGACGAAGAGTTCAAACCTGACCGTTACGTAGATGTCGATATTAAATATAGCGGACATATATAGCGAAATATATACAATGTATATATTTTTATATGTAGGGGATGTAAGCTAGAATGCTTATATCTCAAGAATGGCTGGACCGATTTGGACAAATTTTGTCAATTCAGAATGCCCTCTTGGCGTAAAAGGAAAATATCTGAAAACATTGCATAAAAAGATGTAGGTTACAAGGGTAGGGTTGGACAAGAAGGGCTAGGCCTATTGTTTTCAAAGATATCCGCAATATATTTAGAGGTTGAAATGGACCAACAACAAAAAATGTTTCTGATTTAACAGCCGTTATAAAGAGCACACATAGAAACCAAAGGACACGATATCTCGCATGAAGTTAGAGTTTAGGACAGTGGGAGGCGATATCCGAAATACACAAAAGGCGAATTTCTGTTTTTTTTTGCTGATTTCGTTGACGATTGTAGCCAAATATCGTAGACAAGCAAATCATATAGATGAGTGTAAATTTGGAGATACAGAGGGGCCTCTTGCTTTTGGAGATGGATCACAAAATATTTAGGTGCTTGAATGAACCAAAAACAGAAAAATTTTCCTGATCACACAATTGAAATCAATCGACACGCCAGATAAGAGAGTTAAGGACAGGGAAGAATTCAAGCATTTTGGATGACCATTGGACTATATTTAGCTGTAAAATGGACCACAACAATTAACAGCACGACGGAGTGCGTAAATATTGGGAAAATATCCCTTGTCAAAAATAATATCTGGGCAGTGCTCTATGACATAATTTCAAATGCGAAATCTTCCAAAATGGATTTTTGATTTATTTCTTTTAAATACTTCCAATATTTTATGTTCAAAAGGCGTGTTTATTTAGATTTCACTGCCAAAAATGGTTAGTTTTTTTGGGGATATCATTGATTTAACAGAATATTTGTAGGATTAATAAGGGTAAGATAGTAAGGGCTTCCTGCTAACAAAACTCATAGAATTTAATTTATTTCTGAGGAGGTGCAAACAAAGCAATTTTTTCTTGAAAATTCGCTGCGCTTTGTTCTCTTTTAAAAATAAATTCATGCTTTTTTAATTTTAAAAATGTTGAGAAATCTCAAAAATGTGCTTACAATTTTATTTTCATTACAGGACTTCACATTAACATTTTAAATAAAATACCAAACTGTAATTTCATTATCAAATACCAACTGCCTTTCCGCATGAAATCATCATAGCGCATTGTGATTATGCCTATATTGCTTCTGAATACGCCAACATACTCGACGAACATAACGCAAAACGTTATGTTACTGGAATATAATAATTGCTTAATTAAAAATAGACTGTTAGCAATCAATCATCATCAGCACGCCAATCCTGTTGCCGCCGAACAACAAATTGAAACTTGCCAATCTACAAAGATGTCAACACCTTCGGCGACGGGAGCTAAATATAAAACAACAACAGCAACGACAGCAGCAGTAGCAACGACAGCAACCACACCGGAGACGAATGAAATAACAAGAAGCGCCTTGGAGGCAGCTAATATGTACTTGCAACAACAGCAGCAGCAACAATTTCAACGTCAACAACTTCATCATCAACAACAGCAGCAACAACAACACCAGCATCAGCAGCAACAACATTTGTTGATGCAACAACACATGTTGCAACAAAATCTATTGTCAGCCGCCAATTCAACATCACCTCTGCAACATTTGAATAATATTTTTGGTTTGAATTTTAATCCAGCCCTGCAAAACTCTCCTTCCCAATTAGCCACGGTACCCTCGCCGGCCGCAACAATGCCTCTAGCCGCCTCCTCCATTTTCCACATACAAAATAATTTACAACATCTGCTGGCCGGTATTGCTCCGCAACAGCAACAACAATTCAATCAACTCTATCAGGAATTCTATGGCAACATGTTGCCGCAACATTATCACGAACAGCAAATGTTGCGTGAGCTGATAGCGGCAACATCAACGGCCCAGACGGATATACTTCCGGTTAATAGCATGATTAAATGTGAAACACCCATGGCAACGACAACAACAAACACATTGTCTCAAGACACAGCACCACCACCAACACTTTTGGCCACCCGAGTTGCTGGTGGTGTGACAAACATGCTGCTGGACGATGAGGTGGTCGAGGACAACCTTCCTGGTGGTGGTGGCAATACACCAAAGACCGGTGGTGATAACGATGCTCATGGCGGTGATATTGACGGTGGTGCCATTGGCGGCATTGCTCCCAATCATAACGATTGTAGCAGCGGCATCGGTAATATGGCTTCATTAGAGCAACAACATAATGAGACAACGCACGCCAACCAACATCAACACCACAACCAGCCCCACAGCCACCATCAGCCGACCAGTCAATACCAGTTGAGCCAGCCACCACACAAACAATACCAACAACAGCTGGGTAATAACAAATTGCCCAAAGCACAGTCGGCCACCTCACACCAAACAACAAGAGTACCGACAACCACACCAATAACAACAACAGCAACAACAAACAGAGAACCACAACCATCAACATCAGGTCTGGCTTTGGCCAACAACCAACCGCCTGATTTGTCGGAAGCTGACATTAAAAGTGACGTTGCCGGTGGTGGTGGTGGCGGTGTTGAAGTTACTAGGTCTGATATCGGTCGTGGTAATGCATCATCAGTGACACTTCAGACACCTGTTAATAACACAGCAACATTAACAGCAACAACAACAAGTGGAACGACAACAACAACTTCCAACGTCGGGAAATTGGGTAAGTTAAAATTTATTTTTACGAACTATTTTGAAAATATATTTTCAAATTTTATATATCATCTGTTCAAAGAGGGAAATATTGCAAAAATTAAGGACAATTTGAAATATATGTTTGCGTCCTTAAATTGGAAATTTGTACCGTTCGTAAAAAAAAAAAAAAAACAAGTAAGAAAACCCTACAACACTACAATATGTTAGAAACGCCCTTATGTCCAAATCCATTTTGGAAGATTTCGCTTTTGAAATTACGTCACGGAACACTGCCCAGATATTACCCTTAGCATTTTGAGTAGGGACATTTGCCCAATATTTACGCACTCCGTCGTGCTGTTAGTCGTTGTGCTCCATTTTACAGCTAAATATAATTGCAATCTGTATATAATAAACCTAACCTGTGTTGTAAGGTGAACAAAAATTACAAAATGTATATTTCAATATTATAAGTCAAACTGAAAAAATCGCATGCGATAAAAAATTTGAAAAAATAAAAAAATCACTAAATACTACAAAATCTATATTAACATCATTATTCGCACCTTTTTATGAGATTTTTTTAGATGTTATACTTTTATGCCAAGAGGGCAGTCTAAATTGACAAAATTTGTCAAAATCGTCCAACCATTCATGAGATATATGCATTCTAGCTAACATCCCCTCCCTTTGTATATATACATTGTATACATTTCGCTATATATATCCGATATATTTATTATCGGCATCTACGTAATGGTCAGAATTGGCCTGTTCTTTTATTTGTGATTTCGCAGGGATTAAAAATATTCGCGATTTAATGGAAAATTTAACTGTTATTTAACACAAATGTTATGGTCTATTTCACCCACTAAATATTACCCGATGACCATCAATATTGGAAGGCTTCTGGCCAGCCCTAAGCTCTAGCCCAATGCTAACTTCCGCTTCGATTGGTCTATAATTGTTACCTGTAGAGAAACTGTAAAATCAGGAATTTTTTCAGTTTTTGTTCCATTTCAACCCCTAAATATTATGCGATCATCTCCAAAAGAAATATAGTTCTATTCTGACCTTAGCTTCACCTCAATTTTCAATTTCGTGAAGATCGAGCCATAATTGCGACCTGTAGAGTGATTACAAATTAACATGGACAGACGGGCGGACGGACATACATAGCTAGATCGACTCAGCTCGGCGAGATAGGAAGATCCATATATACTTTCCTATGTGGGAAACCAATATTTCGTGGTGTTTCATAATTTTTGGCCCAATCAAATTTATAATACCCCCAACACATAGTGTTGTAGGGTTGAAAAGTGAAAATGGACTTGAAAAGTGAAAAATGGTAAATAAAGTGGAGAAGTAAGCAAGGTAACTCAGAATTGGGTTGAGTATTTTTTAGTTTTTATGCCCTCCACCATAGTATGGAGGCTATATAAGGTTTGTCATTCCGTTTGTAACATCTCGAAATATACATTTTAGACCCACAAAAAATATTTATTCTTGATCAGGATAAAATTCTATGTCGATTTAGTGATGTCCGTTCGTCTGTGGAAATCACTGTAGCTTCCGAACGAAATGAAATAGGTTGATAAAGTTTTTCTCAAATGTATATTATATCTGTAGGACTTTTGGTATTAAAAATGGGTCAACGTGGACCTACGTTTTGGTATAGTTCCCATATAATGGTACCTCCCTATTTTCGGTTTTTTTGGTGATTTAAGCGACATTATTCACAGGAATTGTATCAAATTCGGCATTTGAAGTTCGTAATAGATACGACAATCTATGACAAAAATTGTCGGTAAAGGTCCACGTTTTGGCCCCCATATAATGGTTCCTCCCTATATTATTCACCGATTTTTTCGCATTTGAATATTGTAATGGCTTATGACAAATGTTGCCTTTTCAGGCCCACGTCGTCGTAAAAACCATTACATAATGGCTACATTCAGTAGTTTTAAGATTTTAACAGAATTTTTAACGGATTTTATTTTTTTTGGAAAATTGCCAAATTCTTTCCAAATGGTGGAGGGTATTCAATGTTCGGCCCAGCCGAATTTAAAGCGTTTTTATTTATTTTTCCTTACAACAGTTAGCTAACGCAGGATATCATTCGATTGGTTAAACATGTTCCAAATCAGCATTAGGGTACAATAGCTATCTACAACAAAACCAGTGTTTGTCCAAATTATCCCACACCTCAATTATACCCTCAGCTATATGACCAGAGAGGGTATATATCATTCGATACGGTCAAAACGTGCCTAGTCGAAATAACGGTTTTAGACCCTAGGTCTCTTTGGACCAAACCCGTTTTAAGATATTTGGAGTCGATCTAGCGATGTCCTTCCGTCTGTCTGTCTGGCTGGCTGATGCGCACGATAACTCTCGAAGGGAGTATCCGATTTGGTGCAAACTTGGTACAACGTAATATAATAATAGATGGGCAATATCGGTCCACTCCTTCTGGTACCTCCCACACAAAATGTCAAATTTTCCAAAGAAAATAATTTACTGCACATAAAGAGAAATGATAATTCGATTTTACTCCAATTTTTCGAATCTTAATATTTACATCAATGCTAGGTCAGGTGTGAAAATAGACAATATCGGTCTACTCCATCGAGTACCTCCCCCACAAAGGGTCAAAATTTGCAATAATTTTAAGTTTTATAAAATGTGATTTAGAGTCCGATTATCTTCAACTGACAAACATCGCAATATTTTTATTAATCAAAGGTCTGGTGTGAATATGGAATATATAGGTCCACTCCTTCTGGTACCTCCCCCACAAATATTAATATTCATGAAGCTCATAAAACACGAAATTATAATCAGATTCTATTCAGACTTGGCACATCTCAATATTTCTATCAACACAAGATCTGTTATAAAGATGGGAGAGATCGGATCATTCCTCCCCCACAAAGGGTCAACATTTTGAATAACCAAAATGATTATAAAACCAAAAATAAGCATCCGGTTCTCTTCAAATTACTCACATCACAATATTTTCATTAACCCAAGGTATGGGGTTAAGATGCGATATATCGGTCTCCCTCCTTCAAGTACCTCCCCCACAAAGGCTCAACGTTTTGAATAAACTTGAAACTTATAAAACGTGAAATTGACATCCGATTCCATTCAGACTTGGTACATCTAAATATTTGCATCAAGAGAAGATATGTTTTAAAAATAGTAGAGATCGCATCACTACTTCTGACACCTCCCCACATTGGATTCAAGATTTTGTAAAACAAAACGATCAAAGAAAACGAAATAAACATCCAACTCTCTTCACATTTCACACATCCAAAAAGTTTTGCTAACACATGATCTATTGTGAAGATGGTATACAGGGTGAGATAAAAAACTGTAACAAACTCAAACCCCATAATTTTTAATTTTTTTTCATATTTTTATTGAATGAAAGCAAGAAATGCCCGAATGCTGCTCTGCGATATTTTAGCCCATTCCCGGCGAAGCACTTGCTTGAGGTGATTGACATTTTGGTATTTTTTTAGTGCGAACCTTGCTTTCCAAAATACTCCAGACAATAGTCCAACGGTTTGGTATCCGGAGATTTTGGTGGCCATTGTGCGCTGGAAATGAAGCGAGGAACCTCATTTTGTGGCAATTTTTGGGTGGCGCATGTTGAGTGCGATGGTGCTGAGTCTGTTGGAATGTCCAAGGACTGCGGCCAAAATAAATGCGTGCCAAAGGCTTTAATACACCCTCCAGAATATTTCCGCGATAATATTCGGCATATATTCTGATGCCTCGGTCCATTCATACGAGCGGAGAGCGACCATGGGCTATTATGGCGGCCCACACCATCACCATGGCCGGCGCTTGAGTTCTGGTGGCCAACCGAAGGTGCACATTTTCAGCTGACCTTTTTGGCACATAAACACGATCAATTTGTTTGTTTACAAACTGCTGGACAACGAATGTTTTCTCATCGGAGAAAACCAAATTCGGCAGTTCACCACCAGTTCGGCCAAGCGAAACAACTCTTTAGCTTTTTTGGGTTTATTTTTGTTCCGTTGCGGTGTAAGTTCTTGCAATTTTTGGAATTTCAATGGCTTTACCCCGAGCTCATTTTTCAATATTTGACGAATAGAATATTGCGATATGTTCAGCTCACGACTCATTTTTCGGCCACTGCGACGCGGGTTTCGATCAAGGCGCTTCTTAACTTTTCAAACCATTTCTGCTGATGTTGCTGTTTTCTTCCGTCCACTTCCTTGAGGTCGGGCTGCGCTAAGAGTATCACGGTAAAGGGCGATGGTGCGATACACAAAAGATTTATTCACATTTAAATGCTGGATTGCTCTAACGATAGCCATTTGTGATTTTTCGCACTATCACGTTTGAATTCCATCGAATAATTTTTTTTTCTGGAAAATTATCACCAATATGCTGGAATAATTTTAACAGCTGTCGGACGAGTGGCTTAGAAATGACAGAAGTCTGAAGTTGGTTGCAGTTTTTTCATCTCACCCTGTATAAATATTCAAATTTAAAAAATATTTATATTTTCACCAAAAATTAAGGCGATAAGAAACGGATTTCCTCCGAATCTTATTATATATTTTATTATAAATCTCCAAAAATGTAGCAAGTTCAATATGCATGTTGAAACACTGTACCGCATGCATTAACAAATGTTTGCCTTAATTTAAAATTACACAACATTTATATTAAAGACTTTTAATTATTTGGCATAATTTTGATATGGCTTATGCACAAATCAACTTCAAGCTGATATCATTATACAAATTTTCGGCAATTTCCTGTTCCACCTGAGTACTTTGCCGCTGATATTAAAAAGTCACGAATGTACTAAACAAAAATAAGTCTTGCAAATGAATGCTTTAATTTAAATTACCAAAAAAAAAAAAAAAAAAAACAACAGCAAAAATGCACTAAAATATGAATGAATATAATAAATTCCAAAATAAAAAAAAAAAAAATGAAAACGAAAGGAAGCAGGGAAAACAAAGCAAATGTTGTTGTATG